CTCGGATCCCCAGTGCCGGCGTCCGACAGGGGTGCGCAAGCAGGCCCCGGGACGTCGTTATCCGACGACTACAGCGCTGTGGGGGTTGACCACGTGGCCCCCACATCGTCTTTGGCTACGCGTGATGAGGGGTGTGGCTGTCACACCTCTGCACAGGCCTGCCCTGGTCCGACAAGCTGAGGAGGCCCACAAGAACGGGGAGGATCACCTCGCGCGTATGCTGGAGGTGATTTCCAGCATGCGAAAGAGCACGGAGAAACAAAGGAACGTGGCGATGCCCATCAAGAACGGAATGGAGCACTTGGCGAAGTGCGTCGACGCACTTCGCCAGGTCATGCGGGCTAGCCACGCCATCCTGACGCAGGTTCTCCGTGCGTCAACAGCAGGAGTGGAGGCGTCTGCCAGCACGCGCAAGAGGCCCCGACCCCTTGTGCCATCCTCCCCCGAGGAGGACGAAGATAAGCGCAGGGAAAGGCCAGCCCCCGCGACCGAGTCGTGGACCACTGTGGCTGGCAAAAGAAAGGGGAAAAGGGGGAAAGGGACCGATAATGTGGAACCCTCAAAGGGAACCCCAAAAGGTGTCCCTAAGAGCACCCCTAAGGCTGCCTCCATGGCGACGGATAAAGCCGCCCTCAAAAAACCCGGAACGACGCCGGGTAAGTCGAAGGTAGGTGCGGCTAAGCCCGTGGCACCTCCGCCGACGCCTGGCAAGGGCAAGCAGCGGAGGAAGAGGAAGCGGCGGCGCAGGCCGAAGTGCAGCGCCGTCGTCGTACAGCCGGTAACCGGGAAGTCCTACGCGGACGTCCTGGGTACGATCCGGCGACAGGTGTGTCCGGAGGAGACGGAAACGGAGTTCCGTCAAATCCGGAAGACTCAGGGGGGCGGTGTCCTGCTGGAGCTGGCGCGCTGCAAGGATCAGCGCGCCCTCCAGGACGCCATCAAAGCCGCCGTGGGAGATGCCGCGGAGGTCAGGACCCAGGTGCCGCGCATGCGCGTCAAGATATGTGATCTCGACTGCTGCACGACCGGCGAGGAGGTGCGCGCTGCTGTACTGCGAGCTCTGGGCGACCAGCTAAGGGGGGAGCTGAAAGTCACCATGCTCGCGCCAAACAGCAGTGAGCAGCGCAAGGCAGTGGTGGATGCCGAGGAGGCGGCTTCCATCCAGCTGATCGCGAGAAATCGCATCAAGATCGGCTGGATAAACTGCCGAGTCAGGCGCTGGGCCGAAGTCCCGAAGTGCTTCAGGTGCTTAGCCTATGGGCACACGAAGCGGGACTGCAAGGGCCCAGACCGAAGCAAGGCCTGCTGGAGGTGCGGTAAGGACAATCACAAGTCCAACGACTGCACCTCCCCTCCTCGCTGCATGCTCTGCGCCGAGCTGGGCGTGTAGCAACTCGACCACGCACCAGGGTCTGGGGTCTGTAAGGCCTTCCGTGACGTCCTCAGTGCCCAGAAGCGCGGGACGCAATGGCGACGGTGATTCAGTGCGTTCTGAACCGCAGCCGGGTCGCGACGATTTACTCACACAGCTCTCCCTTGAAATGGGCGCTGATGTTGTAGTCATCAGCGAGCAGTACCGGAACCTGGTACGTCGACGACCTGGGCGTCGCCGCGCTCTGGGTGAGGGACCCCCGGAAGGTCCCAGTGGTATGTCGCGGAGCGGGTCGTGGGTTCGTCTGGGCCAAATCCCGGGACGTTACATACGTGAGTGTCTATCTCTCCCCCAACGATAGCACTCGCATGTTCCGGGAAAAGCTCGACGATCTGGAAGACGCGCTCCGCGACATGAACGGCGGGCTCGTTGTGGCAGGCGATTTCAACGCCAGGGCTTTAGAGTGGGGGATGCCAGCTCCCAACACCAGGGGCAAACTGGTTATGGAAATGGCATCCAGGCTGGGGTTAATAGTGCTCAACACCGGCACTACACCGACCTACCGACGACCCGGCTTCGGCGATTCCATTCCAGACGTTACTTTGGTTTCGGAATGTCTGGGTCGCCGAGCCGTGGGCTGGAGGGTGATGGAAGATTTCACTGGTAGTGATCATCAGTACATCACCTTCCAGATATCGCCCGGTAGGGCGGCACAGCAACGCAGACCTCAGCGCCCACTTGGCTGGAACATGGCCAAGCTGGACGAGAAAAAGTTCGCCGAGTGCTTGAGCCGCGGCCTCGGGGGCATACCATCCGCCCCCGGCGATCACCCCGACAGGGGCTTCGCTGAGGCCCTGGTCAGCAACACCATGCGGCTCATCACTCGGGCTTGCGACTCCTCGATCCCTCGCAAAAAGCCGTGGAAAGGCCGAGCCCAGGCATACTGGTGGACGGATCAGATCGCCAGCCTCAGACGGGAGTGTCTGAGGCTACGGAGACTGGCGCAACTAGCCCGCGGTAGAACGGAGGCCTCCGACAGGGTAGCCGAGTAAAGGACGGCGAAAAAGACGCTTAACCGGGCTATCAAGGATAGTAAAGCCCGCTGCTGGCGAGAACTGTGCGACGAGGTGAACCGCGACCCTTGGGGACAAGCCTATAAGCTTGTCACTCGCAGGATCCGGTCGCCCGCCGCACAGAACACGATGGACGCAGCTACCACCGAGCGTGTGGTGGACGGACTGTTTCCTAACCACCCAGCAAGGGATTTTTATCCGGAGCTGGGTGACGGAGAGGCCGTCCCCACCTTCACTCAGAAGGAGCTGCTGTCAGCGGTGGGTTCCTTGAAGCCCGGGAAAGCCCCGGGCCCGGACGGCATTCCAGCGGAGGTCCTGAAGATGGTGGCGCGTCTCCACCCGGACCTCCTGCTGGAAATGTACAACACCTGCCTCCGGGCAAGCGTCTTCCCGTCGCCTTAGAAGGTTGCGCGGCTTGTACTTATCAGCAAGGGGAAGGGTCCCCCGGACTCTCCGTCATCTTACCGATCGCTGTGTATGCTAAACACAGCCGGTAAGGTGATGGAGAAGATGCTGAAGGCTCGCCTGCTTCAGGCAGTACAAGCCGCCGGTGACCTGTCGGACCGACAGCACGGCTTCAGGAGAGGGCACTCCACCCTCAATGCCATCTCCGATGTAGTAGAGGCTGTCGGACGTACGGACAATGCGTGCCACCGGGCCCGCCCGCTGGTCCTCCTCGTCACGCTGGACGTACGCAACGCGTTCAGTTCGGCGAGGTGGATAGATATGCTGCGGGCGCTCGAGCGTTTTCGAGTCCCCAGCTATCTGTTGGCCATGGTCAGCGATTACCTCCGTGATCGCTGGCTTACGTACGAGACGGAAGAGGGTTCCAGAGGTCGCGCAGTCTCAGCCGGGGCAGCGCAGGGGTCCGTTTTGGGACCCGACCTCTGGAACGTCTTGTACGACAGCCTACTCAGCATCGAAATGCCCGACGACGTGTACCTTGTCGCGTACGCGGACGACATCGCCGTCGTTATCACCGCGCGTAGCACCGAGCTGGCGCAGCTCAAGCTGAACCAGGTGATGCGGCGGGTCGGAGACTGGATGGACAGCCACGGCCTCCAGCTGGCGATCCCGAAAACCGAGATCGTCATGCTTACGAGGAGGCGTATACCCACCGTCATGCCTATGATGGTGGGTGACGTGGCTGTCCAGACACGTAGAAGCGCGCGGTACCTGGGGGTGATGCTTGATAACAAGCTCACCTACTGGGACCACATACGCGCAGTCTCCGACAGGGCGACGGCAAAGTCGGCAGAGCTGAGCAGGCTGATGGCCAACATCGGCGGACCGAGGCCTGGGAAACGTAGGCTCTTGATGTCCACGGTCCAGTCCATGCTCCTGTACGGAGCTGAGATATGGGCCGGGGCCTTGGACATCAAGAAATACAGGACACGCATGGCCTCCGTCCAGCGTCGCGGAGCGCTGCGAGTCGTTAGCTGTTATCGTACAGTATCCGCACTTGCAGTGCTCGCGATCGCTGGGATCCTCCCCATCGATCTTCTCGCCAAGGAGAGGAGGAGGATCTTCGAGCTGAGCTCGGAGATGGACAGGACAGAGGCCGCGGGTATAGCGCGCGCTGAGACCCTCTCGGAGTGGCAGCGCCGCTGGACCGCGGGCAGCACGGGCCGGTGGACAGCCCGGCTAATCGGGGACCTGAGGCCCTGGCAGGAGCGCGCTCACGGCGAAGTAGACTTCTACCTCAGCCAGCTCCTGTCAGGGCACGGCTACTTCCGGAACTACCTGTACCGGATGGCCAAAGTCAGGTCCCCGACGTGCTATTACTGCGACGCCGATCGAGACGACGCGTTTCACACGTTCTTCGTTTGTGCGAACGCTCCGCAGTGGCCAACGCAGCTGACCACGACATCGCCCTCGAGAACATCGTGGGGGTGATGCTGCGGAGCGTAGAACTGTAGGACGCGGTCGCGGCGTTCGCGACTTCTGTCCTGGTGGCGAAGAGGCTCGATGGGTGTCTACAGGACCCCCGTCCAGGTCCTGTAGACTAGAGGAGGCCTGCTGTCTGCGCAGGCCAGCACGCCACGGACCCAGACCGAAGTAATGCGATGAGCGGATTCCGGTCTGGGCCCATATGTGGGGTCAGAGGTGGTTTTAGTGGGTAGGCCCTTCAGCATAATCGCAGGACGGAGAGTCCCACAGTCCCTCCGCAATACGTTGCGGGGGTCTGCGTAATGCATTTCCACCTCTTAAAAAAAAATTTAAAAAAATGAAATGTATAATATTTTCGGTTTATTATTACTGATGGGAATTATTCAGAAACCGACCCTGCGGTCTTACTTCACAAAAAGTAGACTTATATCTACTCCCGGATTTACTGATGTTATGTCCCGGGATAGATTAGAAACGATACTAAAATATTTGCAGTTTAGTGACAATAATGCTTCAAATTATCAAGGTCAACCGAAATTACAAAAAATATTCCCAGTTTTATCATATTTGAATACCAAATTTCAAAAATCATACATTCCTGAACAAAATATTTCAATAGATGAATCACTAACATTGTGGAAAGGACGATTAGAATTTAGGCAATATCTACCTTTGAAAAGTGCTAAGTTTGGTATAAAGACGTATGAACTATGTGAGTCCAGCAGCGGATATTTATGGTCGATCCTAGTTTATACTGGAAAGAATATGACCATTGATATTACCATGCATGACAGAAATGTTAATAAAACCTCAGCCATTGTTCTGTCTCTTATTCAACCTTTATTAGGTAAAGGCTATACGCTATGGCTTGATAATTTTTACACTTCTCCGGCATTAGCCCGATTTTTGAAAGAACATAGGACCGATTGTGTAGGAACACTAAAAACTAATAGGAAAAATTTTCCTGTGACAGTAAAGAATGCAAAATTAAAAAAAGGTGAGACGATTGGCCGACATGTAGGGTCGATTACAGTAATGAAATGGTATGATAAAAGAAACGTGTGCCTACTATCGACATATCACGGCACGGAAACGAAAACAGAAGTAAAGCATGGTAAAGAAATAACAAAACCCATATGTGTTTATGATTATAACTGTTATATGGGAGGAGTAGATCGTAAAGATCAACTTCTTCAACCATTTCTGGTTGAACGCAAAAAAATGTCGAAATGGTACATCAAACTGTTTAGGCGACTACTCAATGTTACTGTACTAAATAGTATGATTATATATAAACACAATACAAAAAGAAATATTAGTCAGTTAGCATTTAGAATTGCTTTGATTGAACAACTGTTTGTACATTTTCAAACAAACGAAAGAAGATACAATGTAAAACTAGCACAGGATAATATAGTTCCTCGTTTGACGGAAAGACATTTCATTCGAAAAATTACCCCAAAAGCAACGAAAGCCAATCCACAAAGACGATGTGCTGTTTGCACTAAACACGGAAGAAAAAAGGACACCAGATACTGTTGCGAAAATTGTAACGTTGGCTTATGTTTGGAAGAATGTTTCGAAGCGTATCATACACAAATGGAGTACTGAATAAATAATTTGTATTTTTTTTTCACGTTAATAGTTTATATAAAAGTTTTAAATTTTATTTTCATTTTTGTTCATGGTCACAGTTTGTATTATAATATTTCGCATTTTTCATATTTTATATTATTTTGAAATTATATAAAAGTCGAAATTATACAAATCTGTCAATAAAAACATCATTTAAAAAAACAAACAGCGGTAATAAAAATTCTTATTTATTTGGCCCCCTGACGGGCCCCACTTTTTATGTGTATTTGTCGTGACTGAGCTCCCTCTACCTACAAGTAGTAGCCGGCATTTCGATATGATTTTCGGGAAGAACCAGCCGTCCTACAAAATAGGTTCTCGCGAGTACAAAGCCGTCGTTGAGGGGTTAAGTTATAGAAGTATCCTTCTCTATCACTGTTCAGGATATAATATCGGTGGCGGAGTACAGCTGGTTTATTTCTTATTCGCATTCGGATATTGTCCTTCAATTTTATAAACTTCGATCTCGAAATTTCTTAATCGTCAGTTCTAAGTTCTGCGTCGCCATCTTCTTCTGTCCATATTTCACTTGAAACTGTTTCATATCGGACAGTAAATTCGGCTAAACTCAAGTTCTCTAGGTTGTCTAGCCTCTTAACGTAACGATCGAATATGTTATTGAAAAATGATGTTCCATTTTCTTCAAATCGCCAAATTCTATATCTCTGCTCAGGCCGACAGCTGTTTATAAATACAGCTTTTCGCGAGCTCATTTTAAGAGGCAGATGGCATAATCGATAAGCACATTCTATAGCACTGACCATACGTTGAGATAAAATTGCCATAGATACCGAAAATAATTGATTTCGGATGGCATCGTTTCAGCGTTTCGCTCGTAAAACGGCTTCTTTAATAATATTACCTGTGTCCTGCGGCTCGCATTTACTTGCGTATTTAGTAATATAATATGCGACGGGTGTAACATTTCCGCATGGTTGAATATCCATGTTTGCTTTCCAAAGCTTTAAAAGAGTTGGGTTCTAATTATTCACCATAATTTCATTTGCGGTTCTCTTAAGTACGCAGAAACGCCCGTTGTTGGCAAGTGTTTCATTTGGGCCTAAGCACATCGTTCTTTCACTTATCGGTCTGGGGAATCTAAATCGACACGAACGATTATTACGATCTTTGTAACATGTATGAGAATGTTTATGAATTTGGACTTTTTTAACTATATCGTTCATATCGTGATTTTCGGCTTCCAATGAACAAGATACAATTTCCTCAATAACGTTTTGGCCTTTGTTGGTTAGAAAATCAGGTACGTTTGCACACCAAATAAGCATGTGCAAATGTGGACTTGCTCTATTTTGAAATTCAATTCTATACTAAAAATCGGTAACAACGCCGCCTAAGCAATGCGAGTTTTTTAAATACTGTCTTGCGATAACTACCGGGTGTCTCTGAACCAACTGTAGTCGATCTGCAAACGTTAGGTTTTCAAGTTCGGTCATTGATTGACCTTCGGATAGTAGTAATGCCTTCAACATATCTGGCCAGTTTAGATCATTACAAGAGAACGTAGCAAACCATGTGGGCGGTCCAAGTCTTCGGACCATGGCGATTAATTCCGAACAGCATAATTTCCAGTATGATGCCGTTCCTTTTATGTTTCTCATTGTGAGATGTATGTTGTCTACTAATCATGTGTATAAAGTTAGCCCCCCATTTTTTAATTTTGAATGTTTTTTAGTTGTTCCAGGTTATTCTATGTTTGTTCTATATTGTTCCAGAGTTATGAGACCAAAAACCAAAAAACAAGACAAAAAACGCAAAAAACAGTTTTTTAAGCGGCTCCCCATTTTTTGAAAAATCCAATTTTTGTTATTGTCCTGGACTGTTCTAATTGTTCTAAACATTGTTCCAAAATATCAATTCCCTAAAATATGTTTTTACAAAGATACAGTAAAAAATATCAAAAAGTGCTAAAATCATTTTTTTATCTTTGTAGCTATCATTTATTGTTATCTGATCATTAAATTACATATTTGAGCTACAAATGACAAGAACAACTTGGAACAACTCTCAGGTTTGCCAGAACAAACATATAAAAAGCTCTTTACTCTTGTAGGTAGAGATATATTTCATCTTTTTATTGCGGATCTAATGGTATTTTCGAATTCCTGAAAATCAGTTACTTTCGTTAAGAGAGAGTATTCCATGATTAACATATAAAATGTTTTTAGTCGTGGATGTACGTTTTTAAATTTATTTCACTAGGAAATTAAGTGCGAGATGTCTAAAACGAATGAGGCACGACGGTAAACTAAATTCAGTTAGATAACAAAGGCAATATCGCATACAAAATGCTGAAAAATGTTATTTTTCTCAAATAGGTATAATTTTCCAAATGATTCTAAGATCTGATCACACGTGATAAATGCTAAAAAAATTAATGAAAACAGATTCACTCTTACTAATATAGCGGAATTGCGAAGCTATGTGCGCGGCAAGAATAAATTAAATCAAGCAAAGCCGCGAGTCGTTTCGGCAATCAGAAGGCGCCGCGGTTTTCCTTTAGATGCGCGTGCGACGGAAGCCTTCGCCTCGGCTTATCTTTGGCGGAGCGCTACAAACGAGCAACCGATCCTTCGGCGATTTTCAAAAGCTCCCGACCGACTATTGACGGCAAGTGGCGGATCTTTTTGATTCACAATAAGCGAACGCATAGATATCAAGCTCGACGACGACTCGAGATCAGTCCGTAGTTCAGCTTACATTAGTCGATGACGGATCGCGCTACGATTGAATATATAAACGTCTACAGTAAAAGCTGGATATATGCAACATCGCTATCCCCTTCACTTGGGGGATCCCCCTAAGCCGAACCGAGCCGCTCGGCAAGGAAATCGTGTAATATGATCCGACCGTAATATCGGTGTGACTAATACTAATTGAACGATAAAACTTTTTTATTTTTAACTTTTTCTTAATGAAACATTTACTAACGCATTTGTGAGATTTTTCTGATTAAAATGGTACCAAACACGATATGATTTGAATTATATTTATTTATTAAAATAATAATAAAACTGTACATATGTATAAGGCAGGCCGTACACCAAAGATACATCAAACACGCAACATGCAACATGCAACACGTCGCATGTTGTGTACGAACGTAGAATAGGTATCGCGGCACGGTACAAACAATTTGTACGAACGTAGAATAGGTATCGCGGCACGGTACAAACAAGTCTATAACTGTGAATTACGTTTTCTATACTCTCCCCAGTTAAATACCCTACACTAATTACGCTTGCGTTCATGCGCGGTATAGCGACGTTTCACTATTCCATGAGCGATACGGACCTCCGCTATTTTTCCTCCATACTATCAGAACGCCAGCGCGCTAGAAGCCAGATTGTTCACTGTAGCGCTGGGCGTTACGCACTTGTTTTATTTATGCGTTCATGAGCGAATTTGATCAGCATTTAATATCATAACCTACTTGATTTTTCAGCATTTTGTATGCGATATTGCCTTTGTTTTGTATCTCACAAAATTGTGTGATATGGCTGCGCACGTAGAAAATATTCTTAACATTATTTCATCCCAAGATATAATATGTCCTTACGGCAAACCTGTTGGTCCCAGTTCTGAAATTCATACAAAAATTAGCAATATCATGAAGCAAAATCCTGAGAGCACTAGTAATAAGCACTTAAAGCCAAAGTATATTTACGTAATATTACAGAAAAATAGATTTGGCATTTGGGATAAAATTTTAAAGTTTTTTAATTTTGAGATTAATTCAATAATTATCGAATCAGATCAAGATATTAGTTTAAATAAAACTAATAATGATCTTATCACTTTCAACTTAAATTTATCTTACAAACTTTGGTTAACAATAGCTCCCGAAGAAGTATTCTATGCGGATAATGTTTTAAAAAAAAGAAGATATAATGTTTTATTGCGTAAGGTATGGACTGACGAGTTATATGCAGAAATATATGCCTTAACGAAACTGCCATGTCCTTTAACTTTTAAACGTTGCAAAATATCTGGAACTGGTATTTTTTTAACTGTATCAGGTCAATGTCCAGAATGTGATTGCATTTTCAAAGGTTGTGTTATTAACAAACCTTTAACGCAAACTGATATAACAATGGAATGTGTAATTGAAAATTTCGATGATTCAATTACACATAAGAAAAAACGACAGTTGAAAGGTGAAAGGAGAATTAAAGTTTCCAATGAAATGGTCGACGCAAATATTTTGTCATGTACGTGGCGTAGAAAGGAAGCTGACAAACTTATGAGTTTTGGTGACGACGAGCCAGCTCATCTACCAAATCTTAACGTTTTACGTAAAGCTAAAGAACAAAGGCGCAATATAGATTTAGGAATATCTGTTACCGATTCAATAGAAAATATAAAGCAAATGAAGTATGGTATTCATGCGGGACATATTCATTCAATTGGATTAGATCCATTCTTTGTCCACTACTGGACACAAGAACAAATGGCAATATATCTTCAACATTCAAATTTTATTTGTGTTGATGCGATGGGATCGTTAGTCAAAAAATTAAAGTTACCAACAAATGATTTATCTTCGCACATATATTTATACCAAATAATGGTAGAAACAACAACAGCAAAAATGCCCGTATTTCAAATGTTAAATACAATCCAAAATACGAATGCGATCATGTATTGGATTAACGAAGTCATTAGAATAGGTTGTACTCATAAACAAAATTTTCCGTATCCAAATCAGATAGTTTGCGACTTTGACAAAGCACTAATGGGTGCTGTAGCAAAATCGTTTGGAAGATGTAAGAGTTTAAAAGATTATCTGCAACAATGTTTTTGTTATCTTACTGAATTACCTCATAGTTTACCGTCATGCCTCATTCGTTTAGATATCTCGCATTATATACATTTAATTTCCCCGTGGAACAAATTAAAAAATTTACATCCACGAGTAAAAACATTTTATATGTTAATTATGGGATACTTAACAAAAG